CCAATTTACTGACCCTCTTATTGTTAAATTATAGAGAAAAAACTTATAAAGAATTTTATGTTATGTATTCTTCTCTCTGTGAGGGAATTTTACATTATGTATTCTTATCCCTGTGGAGACATATTTATAGTGATACAATCCCTTGTAGGGCAAGGAAAATAAAACCCTAATCTCTTTACAAAGGAAATAAAATCCTAAGGACCTTCTATGTGCAATAGGAAATCTTCTCATAAAAGGAAAATAAATCACTGTACTAATATTAATGGTTTGGGCTTTGTAGCACCATCGTTTGCTTCAGGCAAAGAAAGTGTCTTTGAGCCAGTGGGGCGCGCTTGATGAGTCATCATCAAAGACTATTGTGATTTTCAACGAGTAAAAGGGTAGTAATAAAATTCAAGAATGTGGTGAAACTTTGCTCTCTACATTGTATATGTTAAAGAAGATATCTCAGATTAATTATAGTAAATATTGTAAATCTGTAAATTAGTTATTTGCTTACCTGTTATGGTTTGTTTTCCTTGATTGTAGGCAATAGTTTAGGATCAGGAATGTATCTGTTTCCTATATATCTTGTAACCCTAGCTTTCGGTGAATACAAGAAAAACCATTCTACTATATTACGTTTCTAGATGGTATCAAAGCCATCTAACGTCACCACCATCCGAGAGCCTACCACTTTTCTGCAGGTTGTCTACCATCCACAATGGCGTGCTGCCATGCAACACGAAATTGCTGCTCTTTAGGCCAACAATACCTGGTCTCTCGTTCCACTTCCCCATCACAAAAAGCTGATTGGCTGCAAATGGGTGTACAAGGTTAAGCTTAAACCTGATGGGACCATCGAGCGTTACAAAGCCCGGTTGGTTGCCAAGGGCTATAGCCAAATAGAAGGGGTTGACTATCGTGAAACCTTTGCTCCGGTTGCCAAGTTAACCACTGTTCGTGTGCTCCTTAATGTTGCTGTTGTGTGTCAGTGGCATTTGCACCAACTGGATGTCAACAACGCCTTCTTGCATGGTAATCTTGACGAGGAAGTGTACATGCAATTGCCTCCTAGCTTCGGACGAAAGGGGGAGACTTGTGTATGCAAGCTACACAAATCCTTATATGGTTCAAAGCAAGCCTCAAGACAATGGTTCATCAAACTTTCCACCGCTCTCAAGGCTGCCGGATTTCATCAATCATGGTCTGATTATTCCTTGTTCGTCCGAAGTCAGCAAGGTAACTACATTGCTTTGTTGGTATACGTTGATGATGTGATTCTAGCAGGAAATAATCTGCAAGAAATTGAAGCAACGAAGTAGTTTCTTTCGCAACAATTCAAATTGAAAGACTTAGGCCAACTTAAATATTTCTTGGGGATAAAGGTTGCACAGTCCAAAAATGGCATCACCTTGTGCCAACGAAAATATGCATTGGATATATTAGATGATGCGGGATTTTTGGGTGTCAAACCTTCAGGATTCCTTGTGGAGCAAAATGTTTTTCTTACACAAGCAGAAGGAGAACTTCTGGTTGATGCTTCATCATATAGGAGACTTGTGGGTAGGCTAACCTACCTAACCATAACAAGGCCGGACTTAGCCTATGCTGTGCACATGTTAAGTCAGTTTATGGAAAAGCCTCGACAACCACACCTTGAGGCGGCACACAAAGTTCTCAAATACATCAAGAGTGCACCGGGACAAGGCATATTTTTGCCATCCAAGGGATCCTTGCAGTTAAGGGCATTTTGTGACGCTGACTGGGCTAGATGCAAAGACACAAGAAGATCGATAACAGGTTACTGTATTCAACTTGGTCAAGCTCCGATATCCTGGAAAACAAAGAAGCAAACTAGTGTCTCTCGTTCCAGTGCAAAAGCCGAGTATCGTTCCATGGCAGCCACATGTTGTGAGATCACATGGTTAAAGAACATTTTAAGAGATTTAAAGGTGATTCATTCACAACTAGTCACGTTGTTTTGTGACGACCAAGCAGCCATATACATTGCTTCGAACCCGGTATTTCATGAAAGGACAAATCATATAGAGATTGATTGTCATTTGGTAAGAGAGAAGATTCAAGGAGGACTGATTCGTATGGCATACATACGAACAACTGACCAACCAGCAGACATCTTCACCAAACCGTTGAGTTCTACACAGTTTGAAACATTGCTCAGCAAGTTGGGTGTTATTAACATACACTCCAACTTGAGGGGGCGTGTTAAAGAAGATATCTCAGATTAATTATAGTAAATATTGTAAATCTGTAAATTAGTTATTTGCTTACCTGTTATGGTTTGTTTTCCTTGATTGTAGGCATTAGTTTAGGATCAGGAATGTATCTGTTTCCTATATATCTTGTAACCCTAGCTTTCGGTGAGTACAAGAAAAACCATTCTACTATATTACGTTTCTAGAGTATCTAACATAGAAGGACAAGAAAAATCTTCTCCAATCAAAATTCGGTTGAGCATTACAAACTTCAAAATAGTACCCATTCACAAATTTTGAGGTATTGGAAACAAAGGTTTTGCCAATCATGCTTTCTTCAGGCAAAGAGATCATATACCTTGCTTCATATATATCTCTAAACTACGAATTGCAGTGGTCCTTCATATACATATGCAAATTGAAACAAACGTACAGAAATACAAAATTTGAGAAAAAGATAGTAGGGCCAGATTGTGCTACATTGGCCTTATGTGCATTTGGAAGCTAATAAAGGGTAATTTTATTATGAAGCAAGGAGTTGGTAACTAAAAAGAAAAATTAAGTGATTTTCTTAATGCTTTTTTAGCCACCTATATATTGTATTTACGAGTAAAGGTAAGATTATAAAATATTCAATTTAAAGTGCATATAGCTTATTTTTTTAAAAAAAAAAAATTAGCACACGTAATTAGACGATAACATATGATGTACATACCCAATCGTGACAGGACAACATGAAATGATCGGCACCGTGGCTTCGGTTCCAGAAGGGATGTTTGTGAGAAATGAGATTGATGTAGTCGACCACAGCAAGCTTCATGCCACTTAGATCAAAGGTTTCAGGCATGTAGATATACTGAACCATGTTAACCACACTGAATGGAAGGAAATAAACAAGTGCCTTGTGAGGGTCTTTTGTACGGTACAATTTGCCCTTCTCCATCTCATGAATAAACCTTCCCTCCGATGAATATATACTCCTGCATGGTCCGTCGTGAAATATTGGAACCTCTCCTTCTTCGTATACGTAGATCTTGAACACATTCTCCATCTCTAGGTAACTCCTGCCAACGTTTCCTTTTATTTCACTTTTAATTATTATATTGTATAACAACAATTAATTAACTAAATATTTGTTAATAATTCTGATTCAGACGCTTAATTGTGTTGTTAGGTAGACTATAAATCTAAATCATTAATTAATCAAGTCGAGTTTAATTTGTCTATATAACGTACCTGTGGAAGGCGTTAGGGTTGTGGTATATGGGGCCTCGAGGAACATAATTAGGGTCTTGATGTGTGGATGTTTTATTCCTAACTTTAGCAGCTTCTCTAATGGCAGACCTTGCTCTACTCAAACTTGCTTCTACTTTATCAAGCTGGCTGCCGCTGATGAACACTGTTCTATTGGCAACAACATTATTATCCACTGTATTAATCACGTCTCCTCCTACTTTCTGGATTATCGTCTCTTGCAACACATCAGCTGCCTAATTAATGACAAAACACAAGATTAACTTAAGATATGTATAAAGACATGATTAAGAAATTAACATACAGAGAGAGAGAGAGAGAGAGAGAGAGAGAGAGAGAGAGAGAGAGAGAGAGTCACTGATATTTGAGGGGCAGGAGCAGGAGCTGGAGATGGGGCGGCTGTATTTAGGTTATTTAGTGAAGAGAAACTAAAAAGTAGAGGTTGTGGTGGTGGCTGAGTGGATGTTAAAGCAGCAAGAGAGTAAGTAGTAGTAGTAGTATTAATATCACTACTACCACCAGCTGAAGCTGCAGCTACTTTCCATGTTGTCTCTGAAGAAGAAGAAGATGAGGAGGAGGAGGGGGAGGAAGCCCTTGAGATTACCAACAAAGATACTGCCAAAGTTAATACGAGTATTAATCCCACTAAAACCGAGGATAAAGATGAAACTGGTTTGTTACGACTGGGCCTCATTTTTCTCCAGCTGATGATCTCTTCCTAGTGTCCTAGCTAATTCCTTAAAGGCTAGCTCCATATACATCCACCACACATGCACAGCACTAGTGTCTATATATACATATCCTATCCATAGGTATCTACTAAGACCAACTCTAATGGTTGAGGTTAAATACTAAATTTCAAGCCAAAATCATTGGAGAATAAAACCTATTTTTATGGGTTCAATACTAAATTTTTAGCCTAAAAAATTTAAGCTTTAACCCACAAAAACAGTTTTTATCCTCCAATGGTTTTGGCATAAAATTTTAACCCGAGATTATTGAATAATGAATTTAGACTTTTGTTTTTTGGTAACTTCTTTAAAAATAAAATTTATTTAGATTATCCTATAATTTATTATTATGAACATTTTAACTTAAAAATATTTGGAATCCGATAAATAATGAAAAATTATTAAATATGCTTCAATCTTGCAACAATTACTAATACAAGTATTTTAGCCATCTGATTTTGTTTGGAATAGGAAGAAACAGTTTTGGATGTGGGTAGAAAGAAAATGAGAGGGAAAAATACTTCCAGGAAACCAGGACGGATGGTTCTGGTTTGGCTGGCCATGTGGGGGGTCTCTCGTTACTTATATCTTATGACCTCAGGTTTGTATTATGAATATATATCTCTATATAATTATGTTATGTCTGAAAATTTGTCAACAGCTTATGTGCCCGCAACTGCCTACGTCGAACTTATTTTGTTAGACGTACGCGTACGCGTAGGTCTTCGTAAGACAATCGGATGATATATATGCGGTAACAACCATGTGGAAGACATCTTGAAGGAATACTTTTTATTAATTAAATAGATGAACTCAATTAGGTGAATACATCTTGAATGCGAATGTTTAAGCGTCTGAGCCAGATGGAGTGAACAATCATGTGGAAAGCATCGTATCTCTTCGGGGGTCCATTCACCAAAAAATGTCGTTGCACTTGTTTCACCCTCCTCTGCATTCGGAGGAACTGTCTGCTCGATATGGCTGTCAATATGGTCTTGATGTCGGATATATTCTTGACCGGAACTTGTACAGAAAATGACTTCCAGTTCAAAACATCGCTGAATGGAGGAACGTAACCATCCGAAATCAACACTGGCACACACTCGGCATAAATTGCTTCCACCACTCTTGGACTTGCCACTTCGTACCCGCTAGGGCATAAGCAAAACTTGCTACTCTTGAGCATGTTCTCGTACGACACGCCCTGAGGAAGTTGGTCATAAACTTGCACATCCTGGTCTTTGCCTTTCCATTCGTTTAGGAGAAGGTACCTAATGTGGCCGTGTAGACGCCCTGCAAAGAAAGCTAGTGTGGATCGCTTCGATGGAGGCTGACCGCCAATTCTTGGCATCTCCGATGTTTTCAAATTAATCTCTGGAAATGACGCATCTTTCGACGGATCGAATCCTTCTGAAGTGTTTGCATTGCACAAAACTCTGATGGAGTTGTGGAATAAGTCGGGGACGAAGGACGTCGTAGTTGGTCCCTGTAAAATGAACAAGGGCTCAATTATATCATCAACCAACTAATACACTCAAACCGTCGAACTTAGCAATAAGAGAACTAGAAGAAACAAAATGTAATATTTCAACTAATAAATTTGATTTAGACCTTAATTAGTTGATGTGTGTTCTATTATAACGACCCAATTGACTGAAGATGTAACAAAAATGAAAGGAAAGGTCAGTCGTGATTAGGGAGGCAGAGTGAAGTAATGAGTTAAGATTAGAATATATTATAGAGTTCAAATATTTGTTTTTTAATTTAAAAAAGAAACAAAACAAAATCAAAGATTGCTATTATTGATATCCTAAAAATTGTATTCCACACTTCTCATAAATATATTTTTCTTTATGAATATGAAATGTTTAGAGTGCACAATGAGATTTTTGAGTGTCAATAATAGCACCCAAATAAAATAAAAAAAAGAAAAAAAAAAAAGAAAGAGGAAATGCACAATCATGACACCTTTAAAACGAGCACTTACAAAATTACATCAAGTTGTACCGACGACAAAAATTACTCGAAGGAGCGACTCAAACAGAGTGCAGGACAATGTTGGAACCAAATATCAACGCAATGACAATTATATTGCGACCAAATATCAACGTTATATTGACTTATAAATATGCAAATAGCGACGCTATATTATCAATATCTACCAAATATTCATGAAACATTTACTGAATATAGATAGCCGTTTTTGTACCAACGTCAGTTTTGTAGGAGCTTATTCAAAAGGTGTTATTATTGTGCATTTCCCACAGAAATTTCGAAGTATAAAAAGAGAAAAAGAAAAACATTGGATACGGAAAAGGACAACGGCCACTAAGGCACTTGCCACTTGATAAAGAAATTCTCTGTATTGTATTGCTGGTACCACAAACAAACACTTCCTAATTTCTAAAATATGAATTTTGAAAATTTGTTTTGGTAAAGGACTTGCAAATTTGCAACAACCAAATAAAAATATTAAAATTGCAGTATCCTAAGGTCGGACCTCTGAAGATCAAATGCATATTAACCTACAAGAGTATATTAGTTTAGATCTATATGTTTAAAATATTTAACAACTTAATAAAGCAAAACAATTAAGAAAATTAGTTTTTTATGGTTCATTAATAATGATAATAATCTATTTCCAAAATAAATAACGATAGTAATCATGAGAGATATTCTATCTTCTATGAAAGAAAAATAATTGAGTGACGATGTTGGGATAAAGACATCGGTTGAGGTCAATAATAATTATATATCTTGTAAGAATTATTGGCATTTTGTTAATAAGTGTTAACTAGAAAATAAAATTAAAATAAATACTAAACAATAGACACCACATAAATTCAGAGATATACCAGAAAAGAAACAAAGAAGAATATTATTATTCGATGTATGAAGTGCTCCCCCCACCCACCACATTCCTAAAGGAAGTTTCAACCTCGTGAAATTGAAGTTTGGTGCCACGTTGACATCGCCATCGCAATTGGACCAGTCACTACTAAATATTAACCATTATACGATCGTATATATGAGAATACTCCAAATGTTTTAAACCCTTGTTTAAAATTAATTAAGATCCGGAATATTCCATACTCTAGAACGACCTAAAACTTTGGTAATTCCTACTTAAGTCTTCCATCATGACTAATTTTTATTTTTTCCATCAAAGAGAACCTAATCATGACTAATCATTATGAGATAATTACATTGCATGTCTGGTTGGTTGACAAGTTGATGTTTAAAGGTGTCCTTTAATGTTTAAATTATCTTCTGTAATTTTGACTCTAAGATATATGTTTCTCTAGGGGGCAAAAGATGAATTCACACTTGATCTTGTGGAACAATGTTCTTTCCAAAAGCAAAAAATTATGCATCTTGTGATGACTTCTCGGTAAGGCTTCTATTATTCTGTAAAGTATAACAATTTTCCTTTTTTATTGGTTGCATAGCACTGTACTCATACTAAATTTTGTTGATATGGTAATTAAATCTCATTAGGTACATGATAAGTTTAACTCTAGACGGGGCGAGTTTGTTCCCCCAGATACTGAGTTGCTTCAGTTACCTCATTAGCAAAATACGTAATTGGATTTTGTTTAAGGATACAGGGATAGCATTACTTTTTAAATGTCACGAGAAGTTTCGCCTGCTTGGGGTGGTGTTTTGATGTTTAATCTAAAGCTGAAGAAATATGTAAAGGCGAATGAAGTTTTTCCAATTAGGTGATAGTAATTGGACTACATAAATTTCTTGTTGAAATCCATAGTTGCACATTCAAGTGCAGATATATAAAACCTAGATGGCTCAAGAGCCTTGGACGTTGTTAAACTGTATTACTAATTATGCTCATTGACATTTTGGTTTTAGCTCCAAGGGAAGAACTTCCTATTTTCTATGGTGGTATAGTTGATATTGCAAGACTGGAAAAACCGTGGGATTGAGAACACTTTCCGAATTGTTTTGTTTTCAACTTCGAAGGATGGGATATTGGAATGTGGTCTTAAATATTTGTATGGCTCTAATGGGATTTGTAGTTAGTCCTTTAAAATATGATAGTTTGGTTTAGGGGACAAGTATATGTACAGATGCTGCCCATTCTTTAAAACAAACATGCCTGCATGTATAACCACTAATACTTGTAGCTCCAACTGAATCTTGTCTTTAATTTTCCTAGGGATGAGAAGGCAGTTTTTCGGGCTATTGAGTTAAATGAGCAGCTCCAGAAGGTTCTTGCAAGACATGAATTCCTACCTTCTTGTAAGCCTACACCAACTGTTAACCATCTTAACCAAGAGGAGGCTGAGGAGGAAGAGGAGGCTGAGCAGCTTGTCCGAAGGTATGTTCAACTACATGGGACTAAGGTTTTCCTTGTATAAACATTTTTATTCTTTATGATCACTGCAAACTATGGTTTGAAAAAATATCATACAACTTCGGTATATGGGGATGTCTACAAACATGTATGATTTGATGATCTGAAATCAGTTGTCTTTTACTGAAAAACTTTACAGGCTACGGAAAGGAAAAGCTTGTGTAAGCCCTGAGGATGAAGAGCAATCAGCCGAGCACCCCCACTTGGGCTTGCTTGGATCAACCCAGCCAGCAGAACGGCCGAACCGTCCACTTATACGACCACTTTCGTTAGAGCCATTGCATGAATCAAATGGGCATCTTCCGCCTGCAAATGGGCATCTTCCACCTGCAAATGGGCATCTTCCACCCCCACCTGCAAATTGGCTGGCCATGTGAGGGGTCTCTCATTACGTAGACGCAATGCCAGTAGCTCTCGCAGTGGAAGCATGGATTTCAGCGAATGACTGTTGTACTCGAGGGGCCTCTCGTGTATGACCAGGTTTTTATTTTCTCAAGTTTTTTTCTTTATATATTGGTAGTTGATATGGCGATGGTTTCTGATCTGTTAGTGTTGTGGAAAGCTGGAGAACATAGCTGCCACATTTTATCTCATGTTTTCATATGTGATCTTATCTTATGACCTCAGGTTTGTCTTATGAATGTATATATGTCTATATATGTTATATCTCAACATTTATTAACAGCTTATGTGCCCGCAACTGCCTGCGTCGAACTTATTTTGTTAGACGTACGTACGCATAGGTCCGTGTAAGACAATCGGATGATACGCAGCAACAACCACGTCGAAAACATCTTGAAGGATTTCTTTTTATTAGCTAAATAGATGAGCTCAATTAGGTGAATATATCTTGAATGCGAATGTTTAAGCGTCTGAGCCAGACGGAGTGAACAATCATGTGGAAAACATCGTATCTCTTCGGGGGTCCATTCACCAAAAAATGTCGTTGCACTTGTTTCACCCTCCTCTGCATCCGAAGGTACTGTCTGCTCGATATGGCTGTCAATATGGTCTTGATGTCGGATATATTCTTGACCGGAACTTGTACAGAAAACGAGTTCCAGTTCAAAACATCGCTGAATGGAGGAACGTAGCCATCTGAAATCAACACCGGCACACACTCGGCGTAAATTGCTTCCACCACTCTTGGACTCGCTACTTCGTACCCGCTAGGGCATAAGCAAAACTTGCTGCTCTTGAACATGTTCTCGTACGACATTCCCTGAGGAAGTTTGTCGTAAACTAACACGTCTTGGTCTTTGCCTTTCCATTCGTTTAGGAGAAGGTACCTGATGTGGCCGTGTAGACCCCCTGCATAGAAAGCTAGTGTGGATCGCTTCGATGGAGGCTGGCCACCGATTCCTGACATTTCCGATGTTTTCAGATTAATCTCTGGAAGTGACGCATCTTTCGACGGATTAAATCCTTCTGAAGTGTTCGCATTGCACACAACTCTAATGGAGTTGTGGAATAAATCAGGGACGAAGGATGTCGTAAATGGTCCCTGTAAAATGAACAAGGACTTGGTTATATTATCGACCAACTAATACACTTATACCGTTGCTTAGCAATAAGAAAAGTAGAAGGAAAAAGAAAGAAAAAAGTCAGCATGAGACAGTTAGGTCATGAGTTAGGATTAGAATAAGTTTAGAGTTCGATTTGCTTTAATTTAATAAACAAAAATCAAAGTCAGAATAAATTATAAATAAATAAAAAACCAAAAAAAAAACTAAAAACCAAAATTCTAAGGGTGCTATTTTTGGTACTTCAACAATCTTATTTCTGCACTTCTCACAAATGCATTTTTATAAATACAGAAGCTTAGAATGCATGATGAGACATGTGGATCGAGTGACAATAACATAATTTAAAATTATTGAAATAAAAAAATTCGGGGAAATACACAGTAATGACACCATTAAAATGAGCTCTTACAAAAATGGCACAAGTTGTAACAACTACAAAATTGACCTGAAGGAGCAACTTAAACAATGTGGAAGACAATATATCGACCAAATATCAACGACATCTTAATAACGTTATTGAAGTATGGATACCAAATATTGATGTCATATCAACAAAATTTATTAAATATCAGTGACATATATACTGATTATTTACTGAATAAGAAAGGGTTATTTTTGTATTTATCTCAACTTGGTGTCATTTTTGTAGGGTACAATACTTGGGTACTGATTAATCATTACCCAATTTACTGACCCTCTTATTGTTAAATTATAGAGATAGAACTTATAAGGAATTTTATGTTATGTATTCTTCTCTCTGTGAGGGAATTTTTTATTATGTATTCTTATCCCTGTGGAGACATAAACCCTAATCTCTTTACAAAGGAAATAAAATCCTAAGGACCTTCTATGTGCAATAGGAAATCTTCTCAGAAAAGGAAAATAAATCATAGTACAAATTTTAATGGTTTGGGCTTCGTAGCATCATCGTTTGCTTCAACCAAAGAAAGTGTCTTTGAGCCAGTGGGGCGTGCTTGATGAGTCATCATCAGAGACTATTGTGCTTTTCAACGAGTAAAAGGGTAGTAATAAAATTCAAGAATGTGTTGAAATTTTGCTTTCTACATTATTGCTGCAAGAGCATGTTAGAGGCATAGAAGGACAAGAAAAATCTTTTCCAATCAAAATTCGGTCGAGCTTTACAAACTTCAAAATTGTACCCATTCACAAATTTTGAGGCATTGGAAACAAAGGTTTTGCCAATCATGTTTTCTTCAGGCAAGGAAATCACATACCTTGCTTCATATATATCTCTAAACTACGAATTGCAGTGGTCCTTCATATACATATGCAAATTGAAACAAACATATAGAAAGACAAAAATTGAGAAAAAGATAGTAGGGCCAGATTGTGCTACATTGGCCTTATGTGCATTTGGAAGCTAATAAACGGTAATTTTATTATGAATCAAGGAGTTGGTAACTAAAAAGAAAAATCAAGTGATTTTCTTAATGCTTTTTTAGCCACCTATATATTGTATTTACGAATAAAAGTAAGATTAAAAAATATTCAATTTAAAGTGCAAATAGCTTATTTAAAATAAAATAAAACTAGCACACATAATTAGAAGATAACATATGATGTACGTACCCAATCGTGACAGGACAACATGAAATGATCAGCACCGTGGCTTCGGTTCCAGAAGGGATGTTTGTGAGAAATGAGATTGATGTAGTCGACCACAGCAAGCTTCATGCCATTTCGATCAAATGTTTCAGGCATATAGATATACTGAACCATAGTAACCACACTGAATGGAAGGAAATAAACAAGTGCCTTGTGAGGGTCTTTTGTACGATAAAATTTGCCCTTCTCCATCTCATGAATAAACCTTCCTTCTGATGAATATATACCCCTGCATGGCCCTTCGTGAAATATTGGAACCTCTCCTTCTTCGTATACGTAGATCTTGAACACCTTCTCCATCTCTAGGTAACTCCTGGCCAACGTTTTCTTTTATTTTATTTTTAATTATTATATTGTATAACAACAATTAATTAACTAAATATTTGTTAATAATTCTGATTCAGACACTTAATTTTGTTGTTAGGTAGACTGTAAATCTAAATCATTAATTAATCAAGTCGAGTTTAATTTGTCTATATAACGTACCTGTGGAAGGCGTTAGGGTTGTGATATATGGGGCCTCGAGGAACATAATCAGGGTCTTGATGTGTGGATGTTTTATTCCTAACTTTAGCAGCTTCTCTAATGGCAGACCTTGCTCTACCCAAACTTGCTTCTACTTTATCAAGCTGGCTGCCGCTGATGAACACTGTTCTATTGGCAACAACATTATTATCCACTGTATTAATCACGTCTCCTTCTACTTTCTGGATTATCGTCTCTTGCAACACATCAGCTGCCTAATTAATGACAAAACACAAGATTAACTTAAGATATGTATTAAGAAATTAACATACAGAGAGAGAGAGAGAGAGAGAGAGAGAGAGAGAGAGAGAGAGAGTCACTGATATTTGAGGGGCAGGAGCAGGAGCTGGAGATGGGGCGGCTGTATTTAGGTTATTTAGTGAAGAGAAACTAAAAAGTAGAGGTTGTGGTGGTGGTTGAGTGGATGTTAAAGCAGCAAGAGAGTAAGTAGTAGTAGTAGTATTAATATCACTACTACTACCACCAGCTGAAGCTGCAGCTACTTTCCATGTTGTCTCTGAAGAAGAAGATGAGGAGGAGGAGGAGGAGGAGGAGGAGGAGGAGGAAGCCCTTGAGATTACCAACAAAGATACTGCCAAAGTTAATACGAGTATTAATCCCACTAAAACCGAGGATAAAGATGAAACTGGTTTGTTACGACTGGGCCTCATTTTTCTCCAGCTGATGATCTCTTCCTAGTGTCCTAGCTAATTCCTTAAAGGCTAGCTCCATATACATCCACCACACATGCACAGCACTAGTGTCTATATATACATATCCTATCCATAGGTATCTACTAAGACCAACTCTAATGGTTGAGGTTAAATACTAAATTTCAAGCCAAAATCATTGGAGGATAAAACCTATTTTTATGGGTTCAATACTAAATTTTTAGCCTAAAAATTTTAAGCTTTAACCCATAAAAACAGTTTTTATCCTTCAATGGTTTTGGCTTAAAATTTTAGTCCGAGATTATTGAAGAATGAATTTAGACTTTTGTTTTTTGGTAACCTCTTTAAAAATAAAATTTATGTAGATTATCCTATAATTTATTATTATGAACATTTTAACTTACAAATATTTAGAATCCGATAAATAATGAAAAATTATTAAATATGCTTCAATCTTGCAACAATTACTAATACAAATATGTTAGCCATCTGATTTTGTTTAGAATAGGAAGAAACAGTTTTGGATGTGGGTAGAAAGAAAATGTGAGGGAAAAATACTTCCAGGAAACCAGGACGGATGGTTCTGGTTTGGCTGGCCATGTGGGGGGTCTCTCGTTACTTATATCTTATGACCTCAGGTTTGTATTATGAATATATATCTCTATATAATTATGTTATGTCTGAAAATTTGTCAACAGCTTATGTGCCCGCAACTGCCTACGTCGAACTTATTTTGTTAGACGTACGCGTACGCATAGGTCTTCGTAAGACAATCGGATGATATATATGCGGTAGCAACCATGTGGAAAACATCTTGAAGGAATACTTTTTATTAATTAAATAGATGAACTCAATTAGGTGAAAACATCTTGAATGCGAATGTTTAAGCGTCTGAGCCAGATGGAGTGAACAATCATATGGAAAACATCGAATCTCTTCGGGGGTCCATTCACCAAAAAATGTCGTTGCACTTGTTTCACCCTCCTCTGCATTCGGAGGTACTGTCTGCTCGATATGGCTGTCAATATG